CAGAACTTTGTTTGCCGTCGAGGTTTCATGACTGCTCAATTCTTATAACTGCTGGAAATGAGCTATCCTTGATCATTTGATTCCATAACAACAGGTCTTTTATTACGCGATACGACACCTTAAGGCAGGAGGATTTATGAGAGTATGAATTAAGTGCATCACTGCTATTTTCTGTGCAGATCAGTTCTTGTTTTCAGGATGATGTAGTCGCCTTGTTGCAGAAGATGGCTTGCTAGGGAATAAAACAAATCTGTTCCTTTTGCCACATTTGGCAACCATTTGGACTGAGCCATCGATAGGCTGCTGTATTTGATTCATTCAAGACTTTCATATCTTCCGTTTTCATTTTCTGTCTGAGATTAGGCCTTAAGACTGAAGCTAAACGCCACACAATGAACAAATTTTTTGACCATAAATGCGCTGTGTATTTGAAAGCGCCTATCGAAGATTTAAACACTGGTTCTGTATTTTTTATCGTTAGCCATTCTAACACTTTGTCCCGCTGGGTCATGTTGACGATGAATAACACAAATATTGCCATATTAATTTAAAACAGTTACTTTTAACTAAAAGTCAATATGTCTGCAAATGCGATTAATTCTTTAGAACAAGACCTGTGTCGCAACGTTGGAGGGTCATGCACAAAACGTGTCTTCGGTTTGCTTCCATCCGAATTTGCCCGTGATACTGAGTGGCTCTGAAGACAGTTGGTTTTTGTTTAGCTTTGCTTGTATGTGTGCATATCTCGCATCTTAAGGTACGGTGAGGGTGTGGCACGCAAATACCTATCGCTTGGAGACATCGCTAAACTATGGTCTCGATCGAGTTTGGACCATTTCCACACTGAAAGGTAGCAACGCAGTGGCTATCGGATACGACGAAGGAAGTATTCTTATAAAAGTACATTTTATTTTGGTCTCATTGATTAACAGTACTTTATTTTTGGTAATTAAGCTTGGTCGTGAAGAGCCGGCTATAAGCATGGACTCAAGCGGAAAAATCATTTGGGCCAAGCATCTGGAAGTGCAACAGGCCAATCTCAAAAGCCTTGGTGCTGGCATTGAAGTTAAAGACGGCGAACGACTGCCGCTAACAGTCAAAGACCTCGGCGCCTGTGACATTTATCCGCAGTTCATTCAACACAACTCAAACGGCAGGTAAAAAACAACTTTATTCTTAATTCTATTATTGTAAATTGTTAGGCAGTGGCATAAATCTACTGTAGTAATATATAGTGGTGCACAGTAGTAAAAGTCCATTACCGTAATCGTATATAGTGTAATAAGCGAATGTCTCCATCACATTTAGTTTCACGGCGTCATGACATGGTCTGATTCTCGTAGATACATAGGAAGTTATTTAAACAATCCACGGCTCCATGGTATTTGACCGTTTGGAGTGCTAGCCGCGCCAACAACATTTTATTAGCTCATGACCTTATTCCTTACCATTGACGTTTCAAGCTGTTACTTTATATGTTTTTGGCAGCAGTATCAAAAATATATACCGAATATATTGCGTGCGACATGTTTGCTACGTTAGTATTATGTTTTTCTGCGCGTGTAAAGCATTCCGATTGAAATAACATGGATTGTATATGTATTGTGTATGTGATTGCTGTATTATGCTCAGTATCATAATGTAGCGGTGTTTCACTTAATTCTATAATATTGCAGCTCTTGAATCATGTTGGTGCATATTATACATTGATAGTAACGACATTGGTCTTGAAGGAATTATGGCAAATAGCATTGGTTTATTTTATTGATGAGTTAATTAATGTGGTAGAAGCATTTTGCTGTTTCAGGTGATATGGATAAAGGATGAGTTCTGGAGACCTTCCAGTTGAATTCTGATCAATCAGGCTTTGTTCACCATTCTACCTTTACCGCCCATGATTTCAGGATTCATGACAGACATTCGTTTGAACTGTGTTTACAATCCTGAATGAACATGCAATGGAGGACAAAAGCAACATAGATGCAAATATAGTAATACATCTAGGTGATCATTTCATTGTTTATGTTTGCTGGAGCGAAGGCAGTGGGGAGACTGTTGAGTTGATTTTATTGCCACAGCCATCTGTCTGTGGTTTGTGTTTTTCTACCGTTAGCCTCTGACTAAAATTTATCCCAAATGACGGAAGATTACCTCATTCAGTAGCTGTTAAGATTCGTCGTTATTTACGGAGATGGGGAGTATGTTATCTACACAGCAATGGCGTTGCGCAACAAAGCATTTGGATCAGGGCTAGAGTTTGTATGGTCAGCTGATTCGAACACGTACGCCGTGCGGGAATCGATGAGTTCGGTGAAGATATTTTGCAACTTCAAAGATTCGTTGACCCTGAAGCTTCCAGCGGCGGCAGAAGGTAGGTGAAAAATGTTGACATGTTGAAAGTTCCCAGCGTAGCGTTGTTTAAGGAATCTTCGGCGGAACGCTGCTTGGTGTTCGTTCAGCTGCATATCTGTCGTTTTACGACTGGGACAAAGGCATGCTGGTGCGTCGCATCGAGATCGCTCCTAAGCAGGTAACTAATTGTCGTATTAACTGTATATGAAAGATCTTTAAAACTTACTTTTACGTGTCAGTTAGTGGAATCACTTTATAACGAGCATTTTTACTAGCAGTATGCTGCATAAATGACTTCAGTTTAACATCCACATGGCGAATTCTGTTCCGTCTGGAAATTCTGATGTAACTAGGACATAAATATAGATCTTCATCATGAAGCTACCTCACGAATTTTCAGGCATAAGTCAAAATTGAATTGTTATTCGGTGGTCCATCACTCTGGATCATCACAATAACGCCTAGAATGGTATTGTGCCTTCAGGTTGAAAATGAACTTGCCTCATGCG